AATGAAAAGAGACTAAATCTGCCTTTCCAAGAATCTGAAGTCCGCATAATATTTAATTTGCAATGTTTCATTACTTTATTTCATCTAAATATATTAATCTAAGATAGATTCATCTAATGAAATATAAATTTAATATAAATCTTTTGAATTATTAAATTTAATTAGTACTAAAAATACGTGCTAAATTATTATTTAAAATTTTTTTAAATAATTAATACTTAAAAAATTTTTTTATAAATATTATAGCAAAATATTTAAAAATGAAACTAATCTATAAAGTAAGTTATTAAATTGTGAATTTTATATATTTTAAAAAATCATGTTTCTAAAATCAATGCAAATCACATGTTAGCAATTACTTCACTACTGAAATATGACTTTATTTATTATTTTCGAAGTAAGGACGAATTTATTTGAATTAATATGGTGACAGAACAGAAAAATTAATGAAAAAAGAGAAATATTAACATTTTTCATGGAAAACAACAAAATTAATGGATTTGATAAATTACTAATAAATGTTGGCATACAAATTAGAGAAACTGTACATTGCTCTTCAACCGGTGGCATTCCATGTACATTATTTACTTTACTGGATGCTTAATAAACGAACATTTCGAGGGTTTGAGCGTTTTGGCTAGCTGCCAAATTCGAAGTTCAAGTTTGAAGAATTTAACAGCGCAGTTACTTGAAAGCTAGACTTTCTAGCTGAGTGGCGAACGGTGTCTGCCGATAACATCGAGGGCGAAAACGTCGCGGAGAAAGCAACGCAAGGCGAAAACGTCGTGCTACAAGACATCGTGGAAGAAAACATCGCAGTTCTGAAACATCGTGGCACAAAACATCGACGTCGAAAATAAAGCGGTTCGAAAACTTCGCAGGTTAAAAACATCGTCACTGAAAATATCGTGGTAAAAAAAAGTATCTACAAATAATGGCATGACGATAACATCGTAGACATGCTTTTTTCAGGTTTTAATAATTCTAAATGGATATTCCCATAATGAATTGTGAGCGTAAGATGTACAGAAGGATACTTTATTATCACATTTTTTTATTAACTAATAAATTTTTGCTGAAAAAGTAAGAAGGAAACTTAAGCATAGAAAATTAAATTCAACTGATAGATTATACTTTTCATGAAAAATTACCAGTAGAAACTTTATAAAAAATGATTTATTAATGGGCTTTGTTAGTTAACTATGTCGGTTTAAAATTCTATTAAGTGCTATAATTTGCATTAATTTTCTATGCTTAAGTTTCCTTCTTATTTTCTCTTCAATAATTTATTAGTTAATAAAAATATGAAAGTAAACATTATCCTTCTTTCTACCTTGCGCTCACAAATCATTATGGGAATATCCATTTAGAATTATTAAAACCTGAAAAAAAAAAGCATGTCTACGATGTTATCGTCATGCGATTATTTGTAGATACTTAATTTTTTACCACGATATTTTCGATGACGATGTTTTTAAACTGTGAAGTTTTTGAACCGCTTTATTTTCGACGGCGATGTTTTAGAAGTGCGAAGTTTTGTCTTTGCGATGTTTTCTCCCACGATGTTTTGTAGCACGACGTTTTCCCCTTGTGTTGTTTTCTCCGCGACGTTTTCGTCGGCGATGTTTTTGCCGCGATGTTTTCGGCTGTAACCGTGACGAACAGCGGTTAACGGAACGGAAAGATTCCAGCTGTTCTTTCAAGTATTTTGGTAAAGGTGCAATCTGTAAGGCATTTGAAAAGACTGATTTCATGTGTGAAATTGAATCAAGCAATGACTGATATAAATAGTATTGCTTATATTAAAAGTAAATATCAATATCACTGTCAATCAAAGAAAGCACTGTGAATCTTCTCATTGTTCTGTCCCTATCTACTTACTTCAACTGCCTTCAGGAAGTGAATTTGCATTGCTGTGAGCTCCTGTTTGGAAGCCTCTGAATTGAGGGAAAATCATCGTGAATTATCACTTTTGCTTATTTTGTTTATGAATATGTGCTCTACAAGAATACACCAAAATTTTGGATACATCATTTAAAAAAATATTGAATGCAACGAGCTACAATGCTAATCGTGAATATAGTGTTCTTAAAATTGTTTTCTGTTTTGGTGTTTTATGTGTTGCGGGTGATTAAAAAGTTATATTGTGGTTTGTGCCTCGGTTATAACGTCCTAAGTGCTATATCGTATATCATGCATATTAATGGATTATTGTGTTCATATTGAAAGGTTTATTGTCAGAATTAATTCATATAAAACCAAAAATAACATACAACGATAAGGCACTTTCTGGTTTTGCTGCAAATGCAATCACTGCAGAAGCAACAACAATTCAAGCTGTTATGTTGTGTTCATTATTTTCAAAATACAAAAGAAAGTATTGGACTGGTACCAGTGCTTAATATGACTGCTGAAGATGAATTAGATATATGTAACAGCAAGAAGCAGTACATTAAAATTAATAATAATTAATAATAATGCACATTCTATATTATGTTGTCTTTTGTATAGTATGCAGGAAAGGTTAATGATTTTAAAGTGTATGAAATGTATGATCGAAAAAATAGTGTTAAAGAAAAATTAGCATTACTATGAAATATTGTAATTTATAATTATGTGATATTCATTTGTGTAATATTAAAAAACACTAAATATTTTTATTGATTCCAAATTGCAGTTTTATTACTTTTCGTTTGGTATCTATTCTTCCAAACACTGTGTAATTCGCGTTTTTTTAAATATTGCCGTTATGTATGTTTATTAGATTATCTCAATAAATGAATGTTGGAAATCAGGTTTTATTTTTAATTAAATTTAAGTATATTCTATTTTCTTCGCTTACTTTTTATGTGCTTGTGATAACAAAGAAATTCGTAATAAATAGAAAAAAAAAGTTTCATCGTGTGCTCTTTAACAAAGAGCTTACTTTAACGTACTTAGCTTACTATTGTATACTATATTATTTAAATTATTTCTGTACAGTAACAAAAGGACAAATTATTGATTATATAAAGTACACGAAATAATCATTCTATTCTACCACTATTCTGAAATGTAGAAACTAAAATTAAGTAAATAAATTAACATATGTTCGAAAGAAATGGTGTTAAAAACATCATCATTATTAGCAAATACTGCAATCCATAATTATTGCACTTTTAATTGCTTACTATTTAAAAAACACGAATAATTTTTTTATTAATTGAAAATTTTAGTTCTGTTACCTTCCTTCTCTTTATTTATACTTTCAAACACTGCTAATTCATGTTTTTTCTTAAATAGTGCTGTCATGTATGTTGGTTGTCAGGTTATTATTTCATTATAGATATGAATATGGGAAGTTTTTTTTTTGGTTATTGGATTTAGATATATTTTTGTATGAAATACTCTTGATCACATTTATTAGCTACTTTATACTGTGTTTCATATGGATATCTTGGAGATATCGAAGTTAATGGTTATATTTTTTACTCTGAAACGCGAATAAATTTATACTTGAATTCAGGTAAAATACTGATTATGCTACCTTAAGAACCACTTCCTAATTTATCATGACGGGGGCAATTTTTAATGTCTCTGAGATTAAACAGAAATAAAAGAAATAATGCTGTTATCAGAAACTCTCTTTTTTTACCCACATAAATATCTTTACTTTTATTTATGTCTAATTGAGTTTTATTTACTTAAAACCTACTATCAATGTATCAATGTATTTTTAATAACCGCTTTCATAATTAACGTCACTTACATACTGTTATGTCGTGGAGGAAAAACAATTTTACTTTACATCTGACTGCCACTGGCTCCGACATAGCAATGTGAATACTGTACATCTAAAATTTTAAAACACCATTCCAGAATTTTAAATGTTTATTTAATAGAATTCTATTCATATATTTGCAAGTTATACACTATAAACACAATAAACAAAATTTGAACTTATCTGCACCAGCGTGAATAAGCCTGGCATAATATTCAGAACTCTACGCAACTTTAGGAGGAAAATTACCGCAAATTCAAACACAAGGTTTCATCCTTTTCAACGCAGCTAATTTTCTAAATATATTTTACTAATATCCGCAGCGGGACAGCGGATTCATTTCATTCACCCAAAACTCAAATGTTTTAACGCAATAGTATCGCAAAGGAAACATCGACTCAAAATCAAAAATATAAAATCTATAGAATCGGTACTCACTGTCTAGGAATATGATGTTCGTAAACTTACTTCCGATGTGGCTGTCTAGCGGCTAATAAACTAGTCCGATTTATGTAAAACTTGAATATTTAATGAAACATGAATAGTTACTACAAACTACAAAGTAATTACATACGTAGAAGGAAATAGATGAGATTGCTCGTCCATCCTGATGGAATGCGGCCTCGCATTCTCGTAGCACCACCATCTACATCTAGGGATCTGAAAAATAAAATTTTTAAAAAACAAAAAAAAAGATTTTGTTACTATTGAGGGAAAAGTCGTCTTAAATGGTTTATTTCAGCCATCTTCCCTCATCATCTTAACATCCTCAGAAGTAACGCAGTTAGCTCTTCTTAAATGCTCTTTCAGTGGTCGTTCATCTTGAACAGTCTATCTGAATACGTGTATTTTACAAACACGTCTTCCTTTGATGTTGTCTGGAACAATTCATCTTCGTATTTACGTCTTCTTAAACATCATCTGAATACGTCTTCTGAATGCGTCATAGATATCCTCAAGATCCGTCATTCGAATGCGTCTTCTCAAAATCATCTTCTTTAAGCTGTATTTCTTCATACATTTCATCCTTAGACATCATCTTCAGTCTTCTTAAATTAGTTCACGTCTTTAAAATAATAGTCCAAGTCCATTAGTCAAATCGGGAGAAATTTGTCAACCTGGGAAAATGTTTATAATCAGGAATCATCAAAATTGGTATTTCATTATCAAAGATCGTCTGTCCATGGTTCAGGTATTCAGCACAGGTACTAGTCTTGAAAGGTCCTTCGGTAAAACCAACCTTCTCCACGTCGTATGTGTCATTAGGTTTCACCTTGGTGATTTTGTATGGACCTAAAAACTTGGATTTTAGCTTTATACCTGGCCCTAGTTGAGCGCGTTTAATAGCTACCATATCATTGATCTTGTATTTACGAGGGAGTTTTCGACTTCGATTGTAAGTCTTTCGATTCTCTTCCTGGATCTTCCGAATCTGCTCTTTCGCCTCTTTACGTAGATTTTCTCTAGACTCGATAAAGTCCTTCTGGATTTCAACTTCTATTAGTTCTTTAATCTTCCTGTCTTTATTCGTCTTTATCTTCGTACCAAACAAAAGCTCGAAAGGTGTCGAATTGATACTCCTCTGAAAAGTCGAATTATTTATTTGCTGGACATCATTTACGTGTTTGTACCATTTCGTAGGGTCATCTATAGCCAACTTAGAAATGACTGATATGATAGTGGAATTCAACCGCTCTACTTGTCCATTGGCTCTTGGTAATCCTGTTGTGATTAAGGATAGATGAATATTTTCCTTAGTACAATAATAAGCAAATTCTTGAGAAGTAAATGCAGTACCTCTGTCAGCTACTATATTGCAGGGATTTCCAAATAATGATTTTTGAATTTCAAGTTTATCTATTACTTCTTTACTAGAGGTGGTTTTAGTTGGATGTAACCAAACAAATTTTGTAACCGAATCAATAACCGCGAAAATGTATTTATAATTCTTGTTAAAACTCTCCAAAGGTCCCAAATGGTCTATGAGGTAAGCGTTTAGAGGAATATCTTCTTTAGGTAAAGGATGTAATAATCCTTCCTTCTTTCCAGATTTCCGGTTGGCCAGTATACAGGTAATACAATTTGTGATACATTTTTCAATTTTCTCTTTCAATTAAGGGATATAAAAATGTTGTCTCACATGTTCTTCAGTACGTTTGGCAGCAAAATGACCTCGTTCATGCGCGTCTTTAATTACTTCAATTTGCATAATCTCAGGTACTACTAGTGCTTCAATTCCATTCACCATTTTGTAAAGCACGTCATTCCGCAAACAATAATCTTCATATGGCTTAGACTTCAAAACTTCTTTTATAACTTTTATATTTTCATCAGTTTCTTGAGCTCGAATTATTTTAAATGTTATACCATCTTGAATTACCATACATACAGGATTTCGACTAAGAGCATCCACATGTCCCATACGGGTGCCAGATCTGTGTTCGATTGTGTAATCATAATCTTGTAACATTAATGCCCATCTAGATATTTTAGTACAAATGTCTTTCTTGCTCATAGTTTGTTTGAATGCATTACAATCTGTCACGATTTTAAATGGTATGCCTAATACGTACACCCTGAATTTTTTAAGAGATACTATTGCTTTAACCTCTAATTCGTAGCTCGAATATTTACGTTCAATGTCTGTCGTTTTCCTACTCATATAATAAACCGGATGCATCTGAATATCAATTAAGGATTTCTGTAACAGAACCGCACCATAACCGTCAGCACTAGCATCAGTGTGTATTTCGGTTTCTGCTTTCGGATTATAAATACACAAAACAGGTTCTGATGTCAATATGCGTTTCAATTCGTTAAAAGCATAAAGTTCTTTAGTTTCGAATTTAAATTTAGAATCTTTCTTCAGTAAATCATTAAGCGGTTTTGCAATTAATGAATAATTAGGTATAAATTTTCTGAAGTAACCAGTTAAACCTAAATAACTTTGAACATCTTTTACACATTTAGGTTCTGGAGAGTTAATTACTGCTTTCGTTTTAGAAGAAGAAGGATATAATTTCCCATCTTTAATTTTGTGTCCTAAAAATTCGATTTCGCGCTTCAAAAATTGACAAATGTTTAGTTCTAGTCCATATTCCGATGCAGTCTGTAATACGCGTTTCAATTTTTAATTCCCTGAGCTTCATTTTCGGAAGGAATAATGATGTTGTCCATATAGATTACAACAATATTGCCCTTTAAAAGATCACGAAATATATCGCAGATGTATATTTGGAAAACACTTGGGCTGTTGGCAAGACCGAACGGGACCCTCAGAAATTCATACTGTCCGTTTTGTGTCACGAAAGATGTGTATTTTCTACTTTCTTCGTCCGCTTCAACATGAAAAAATCCGTTCTTTAAATCCAGTGTTGTAAATACCATTGCTGCTTGTAATTTATCAATAACATCATCAATTAATGGCAGAGGAAAGCGATCGCGAATTATTTTTTTATTCAGGCGTCGATAATCCACGCAAAGTCTCCATGAGCCACATTTTTTTCTACTTAGCACGATATTACTTGCGTAATCAGAACAGCTTTGTTTAATGATTTGTTTCTCCAACCACTCCGAAATCTGTTTATCAATTTCACGCTGCTCAGCTGGGGGAAAGCGTCGCGGCGAGCAATAAACCGGAAGTCGATCCGTCAGCACTATTCGCATCTTCAGGCCAGATGTTTTTATTTTATTCGGCTCATAATTCCTTACCAAGTGTAGTATTTCATTTCTATGTACTCCGTCTTTGATATGGCTTAAATCAATTTCCTCGTCATTATAAATATCACGAATGCACATCAAATAGTTTTCAGGTTGCAATTTTTTAATTTCGACTCCTTTTTTATTTACAGTTAATTCCCCTTGCCTTATAATATCAGTACCAATGATCGCTTGTAAAAACATTTCGTTTTCTGCGATAACACAAATATTTGATCGAAATGAAGAACCATCAATTTCGAATTCACCTTCAAATCTTTCTATGGGCTTAATTTTCCCATTACCAAACCCCGTTAACTGTAGATCTGCCGACTTAAGTTCAGGAGAACCTATCTTCTTACGTATATCTTCTCGGATTAACGTTACCTGACTACCAGTATCTATTAAAGCATCAATTTGCAAATTACCCAAATTAACAATTTTATGCATTTCTTTCTGACAAGTCTGAGTTATTGGAGTAACAGCTTTGGCATCTTGGATATTTTTAGATGATGTTTTCGAACAATCTACGGCTTTGTGTCCAAACAAATCGCATTTGAAACACTTAAATCCCTTACTCTTATTGTTACAAAAATTCGACTTATGGCCAAGACTTCCACAATTATAACACCTTGGCTCTTTAATCTTACTAGGTACAGCGCCTGTTTTATTTTGTGTGATAGTACTTGAATAACCCTTATTTTTCGTATCTGGAACGCGAATTTTCTCATAAATTTTTAATTTCTCTTTGAATTCAGAAATAGTTTTACACCCGTACAAAACAATTTTGTTACTACTCTGATCTGGTATCCCATTGATTACATAATCAAGAATTGTTGAATCATCAACGAACCGCCACTGGCTATTTCACGCATGGCAATTAAATATTCGGAAAGTGATTCACCGGGTTTTAAGTGTCGTTTCTGTAACAAATTATGAAGTTGTGCACTGTTTATTTTAGAACCAAATTCAGATAAAAGATTTTCTTTTAATTTTTTCCATGATATTATACCTTTCAAAGACCTAATAAATACTTTAGCAGAACCAGTAAGCAATTTTTAAGGAAACACAATTTTCTGTAATTCCGATAACTTAAATAATTTAAAAGATTCTTCTAAATCACCAGTGAAGGATTCAACTAGATATGTATCAGTGCCATTAAATTCAGAAACAGTTTCTAAAATATCACGAAAATGTAAGGAAATATTGCTAGGCATTATAATGTTTTCATCCAATGAGTTATTTATGGGAGGTGATTTTGACCGAACAGAATTAATATCATCATTTTTATCAGAATCATAAACACTTTCGTTTTCAGATAACTCATCATCGTCATCACTTTCGGATTTTAAAAGCTATCACAAAGACTATTCAATATTAAATCATAGTTTTTATCAGGATTTGAGTCATAATTAAGATGTAACAAATTACACACAGAAATAAAATCATTTGCAGTAAAAGTTTTAAGTAATTTTTGTTTTGTTTCTTCAATATTAAAATCAGATGGAAAACCGCAAAAGTTACGCAATCTAGCTCTATTTTTTCGATCACCCAAAGTTCCAAACACAATTTGATGTAAAAGTTTAATTGACTTAGTAGGCCCAGTCTTTAAAGAATTTGAAATTCTAGGAATAGAATTTAAGGTAGTCATCTTAATTCACAGTATCATAGAACACTATTCCTAGAAGTAACAATGTGGAAATAATCGAAACAAAACTTACTTATTTTGTAATATTCATAATGCTTCTTCCTAGGCTCATACCGGCCTGAGCGCCCAAATCTGTACTTACTGTCTAGGAATATGATGTTCGTAAACTTACTTCCGATGTGGGTGTCTAGGGGCTAATAAACTAGTCCGATTTATGTAAAACTTGAATATTTAATGAAACATGAATAGTTACTACAAACTACAAAGTAATTACATACGTAGAAGGAAATAGATGAGATTATTTACAAACGAAGAGAAGGAATCGTATTTTATAAGCAAACATCTTTGAATTGCGTCATCGTCTTAATGGCGGAATCGTCTTTTTTCGTCATCGAAAAAGTCAAAGATTTATTCTCACAGCTTGTCGCGTCATCTGATTATAATGAACGATGCCATCCCACAAATCTATAGAATATCATCCGCTGTTGCCATTCCAGCACTGCCAAGGTTTTCTTTCTGCAGCTGTTGCCAGACTTATCCTCGCTGTATGTGAGAGGTACAACACGTACTAAAGGATTACGGGAAAAATGATGAAATCTTAAATAATCATGACTTGGAATTTAAGTTATTTAAAAATATAGTTTAAAGTACTGAAAATAATTAAGGCTATTATTAATTATGCATATTTATTCTAAAGGTAAAAAATTGTATTATCTTCTGGTTTTCAGGAAATGATAAAATATTTAAACTTTAGATAAATACAAGGAATACAAAATTTCAAAAAAAGAAGAAAATATATTAATTATTAAGCTTATTTTTCTGCATAAATCAATATTTAAGACAAGGACATAATAACGACATCTTCACAACCGTGGTGGAAAAGGTGGAATTTGGCGAACATTTAGGCGTCTTTAAGACGTCGTGTTACGGTGCTTTCACAACCAAAGCATCCCCGCGAAAGACGCAATAAAGACGTCCACGCGACAAAAAACACTACGTCTTTGCAACGGTTGCAAAGCAGTGGATATTCGCTGACATTTGGGCGTGTTAAAGACGATATATTGCAACGTTTTTGCAACGACATCCGCGACGAGTTTGCGACGTTGCTGTGCTACTTGTGATATGATCTTTCAACTGATGTACAATTCCCGAAGTTACCGCAAACACATCCATTAGAAGAAATTAATTATAAACATATTTTTGTGTGCATTATGTCAATTAAAAAATTATATTTTGTGAAACTAATTTCTGAGAATTTTATTTGTGAATAGGATATTGAAAAGACACAAGATACATAAAATTTTAAAAAATATATATTAATATAGTATTAATAAAAATTCGTAGTAATAGGAAATCTCTTCTTTAATATGTAGAAAAAGAGCGTAAGGGGGGGGGAAACCTATGAGTTATATGATTTCGAATTATATTTAAACGCTTGTGCCTGCTGTGTAGCTTTTTAAATCCCAAAACACTATCCTTTAAGACGTATGCTGAAAATATAAAGTAATATTCAAAATACTGTTTAAAGATAGTATCAAGAAAGAAAGCAGAAACTGTCAAAATATTTGAAGTGCTTTTTTGAAAATTTATAATTTCACAGCTGTATAGGAGATGTATTATAAACAATGTCATCGGATCTATTAACAAAAACAGAAAAAGCAAGGAATAAAATTGCTATAATATGGCAGTCATAAATGCTTTAGCTTTTCTAGTTTATACTGCAGAGTCATTAGATTTCTAGAATAGGAAGCATCAAAAATGAGCAGTGCCCACGCCGGGAATCGAATTCTGCCTTTTCCGATTGCTAGCAGGACGTGCTCTCCAGTTACACGCCGGAGACATGCGTTAGTATCTCTACAGCAGTTTTATTATTGAAAACGAAGTCACAGTTTACAACTTTAATATGTTAATAAGCTAGACTTGCTTCGATAAGCTTGAATCTAGAAATATATTCATCATTTTAAGAATTTTTCATTTCTTTCTATAACAGAGAAAACATGATTTAGAAGTTTACTGTAGCAAATTCAAAATAATATAAATCACTGGCAAAAAATAATTAATGCTTTTGATTTGGAATAATGTATGGTGCGAGAAATTCTTACAAAGAAGAGATATGATAAAGTATCTTTACTTTTCACCAAGATAATACTTGAAGCCAGCAGTTGATATTTGTGCGAAACTGTCTGAAAACAAGGGTATGTAATAGTAGAATGCAACATCAAAATTCCTTTTTGCAAAAAAAAAAAAAATACGACAGTACAAAGAAAATTTAAATACAGTAATTAAAATCTTACACTTTGACTATTAATGCTTATAGTATAACTGACGGTGGTATATTTTAATGCTCTTTCCTAAACCCGAAGAGTCTCTACACAATAAACACCGTAAATGGCACGATTAAAATAAGATCGTTCGGTTACAAGAAGAAGATAACTAGAAAGTGTCAACTAAGATTTATGGAATTTGAATTGGCTCACCAGCAGAGCCTATTACATATGAAGCAGTGGGGCCTGAAGAGAGAAACAGAATTCTACTTCAAAGCCTTTGTATTCCCAGAACGACGAAAAAGTGGTTGAAATAGCGAATCGCAAGAGAATATACACTCTCAAATACGAAAATGTATTTCTATTTCCCAGGTGGTTAAAAAAGAAGCTTTCGGATTCGAAAGCTGTGTCTTTATTCAGCTTTAAAACCAAATGGAGAATGGAAACTCGAACTGTCCTTTAATGTGCTAGGAGAAAATGCATACCACCCAAACACTTGAAAAATATGATACAGTATTTGCTTTGCAGGTTTTCTATTTTGAAGAATGAGTTTATCTATAAGACTATATTTTATTTAATTACAGTTTAACGTTCTTTTAAGCAACCATTTCAATAAGCAATTTTTGTTCTGTTTAACTTAAACAAAGCAGCTATTATCATAAATATTTTATTAGATTTAATAATTTTTTGGGGGGGCATGTAAATGAAATGTTAGATCAAAACAAGTGCCATTATTGCAATAATAATACTAATCAAGTGTGGATAAAATATGAACAATTTCTGGCCTCACATATTAAGGCTCCATGCGTCTGCCTATATCAAGCATGTCAAACACATCTTCTCAAGTCGGCCAAATAATCCTCAGGGCATAGTAATGCAAGCCACAACAACGGCCACATTCTTATTTAGTAATTCGTTTAAGAAGTGCATAAATACACACAATTGTATCTAATACTGTAACTGTTAAAAAATAGGAAGAAGCATACAAAAATGTAAATGCAGGCACTAGAAGAAGTGGGCGGAACACCAGGAATCCACCATTGATCGCACAATATAAATGGTACAATTCACCTTTGGTATAGTCCTGTAGCAGTAACAGTGCAATTTTTCCCCAGTTTTGAGAGAGAACATCTCGCGGGCGGTTTGAGGGTCTCCCAAGCCTCTTTACTTACCATCAACCTTTTGAGAGTACATTTGATTTGTCGTATATTTTGAATGTCCCCATGCCACACAGACACTATACGCTTACAAACATGAATGCATTCTGGGGGATTCGAGCCTAGGCCCATTGGTAAGGCAGTTAGCGTTACTGATAGCTGTACAGACTGGGTGGCATTAAATTTGCTGAGTAAATGGGTATATAAGTTTCCTTTTCCAGCATCTGGCATCCTTTTCCTGAAATTAACTTTCGGATGTCTGGAGACGTGCGCCTTCCACTAACGATTTTCTTAACGAAGGTCAAATGAATATCTGTTAACCTGCACTTTCCCGGCTATTTTGCCTTTTGATTAGTGTGACAAGCTTTACACAGTGATACGTATTACCCTAACATGGAAATCACATACAGAGGCTGTTCGCACATTTTTCAGATGATTTTGCTTTGCTGTAAAAACTAATCTTCTACTTGGAGTTTTTTTTAACTGTAAATATATTTTTAAAAGTATAAATTATCATCTGCTACTTGACAGTAAACTAAATGCCAAATTACAAATAAAGAGAGTGGGAAAAATTTTAAGATTGGAGATACATTAGGTATTTTTTTGGAAGCAGGAGAGATTGAAAAATAGCAACCGCCTTCGCCGGCAATCGAACCACGGACCTCTGGAATACCGGCCCAGCGTGCAGAACCACTATACCATGAAGGCACGCTAGGAAAGCGGGAGAAATACCTTATAAGATCAACTCCACATATTATCAAAAACATATTTTATACCCAATTTTCAAATATGAAATACTTTCTCTTTACACAAGTAATCAATCAGTAGAACTGCATCAAGACAAATCAAGCAGAGACACGTCAAAATCTACTGTTAATTTCCTGGAAAAAAGGGAACAAGAAACGGGTGGTGTCGAGGTCGTACCTTCACTCATATCCCTACTAAATCTTTTGATCTATCATCAATATATTTTTGCGCTTTCGGACTTTTAAAAGCGGGTTATCCAAACATGGAGCTACAATCTCTTTAGATTTTGGAAATTTGTTCAAGAGCAATGGGATAAAATACTTCTACAGAAAAGTTTTATTGTCTTGGAAAATGCGGTGAACATATTTCAAACATAAAGATTTTGGGTAAAATATTTCTGTAATTAAAACGAAAATCGTCTAAAAATGTGCAAACAATCTCTGTAAGATGGAAATTTTTGGCTTTGTAAGAAACGGGCAGGTCAGTATTTGTACTTGAAAGGCGATACCAGTTTCACTGAATTTTGTAATATTTAGAGCTGAGTGGCTTCCATCTGTAAGTGGGCTCGCACTTTCTCAGCGTATCAGCTGACAAAGGGGCAGAAAGATCGGCCAGCTTTTCTAAGATAGACCTGATATCGCGGAACCTATCTTCGAGCTTAGTCCTCAGGCTTTGAAGCGTCTCGGCACACATTTTGCACAACTGGCCTCCATTTCTTTACTTTTTAATAAACCCAGTTTTTTTCTCTTCTCTGAGCGAACGAAGAGCCTCAGAAAATGAGTCGAGGGCCGCGAAATTGACGTGCCTGGCGTACATCACAAGGAACATGTTGGAGATAAATTTAGCGGTGAGAGGAACTGTACAAATTTTGTAAATTTATTCCATCAGCCAAGTCCTATTACAAGATTTGAAGTAATATTCAACAAAAATCTATTAGCGAAAAAATACTTTATATTCACGAAATGCAGTAGGGTTTTATTTTTATTAATAGTTGTTTTAATTTTGTAAGTCTTTTTTAATTTCTCATACTCCTCTCGAGTTTAATCGTCAGAATATAAATGAGTTAGGGGGAACAACAATATTTAAAATATTTGAGCGAAAAAGTTAGATACAGTGTGATTTCGCTATTGTGAACGCGCGTTGTTATTTTCTGCCGGCTGCTAACTTTAATGTCGGTTACGCATTCTTGCCGCCGAGTTATTATTTTACTAATGTAGGTTTCGAGTTAACCTGTTAGCTTAAATTGAGTTTTGTAGTCTCGCATTGCTCTTTACCTTTACTAAATTTATTGTTACATTACCTTTAAGTTCTCACCGCATGTGGTCGGTGTGTCTAAGCACGTAAGTCCATGCAGTCTGTAAATTGTATTAGTTCCATAAAAGTGTCTTTTACAACCTTCCCCTGGTTATGTTCAACTTCAAACCTGAGCGAGAATTCGCAAGAGTTAACACTTAAGCACTACACCGCGAAGGCATGCTAAGAACGCAGGAGAAATATCTTATAGTGTTAAATAATAATTAAATTTTCAAATAAATGAATCAATCATGGCTTTTATTGCGTTTCTTTCGATTATATAAGAGCTCTACTTGGATCATATTCTGTTAGCATAACCGACTTAAAATTCATGTTAGATTGCTTAGAGAACATTCAAATCTTTATTGTTTACTTGTGAAAATTTTTCTAGCTTTATTAAATTCCAGGAAATTTTCGAGCATTGAAAACCAACATAGGATAGAAAAGGAGATTTTAAATTTTTTTATTCTTTTCCCGAATCGAAATGAAAGTCTTTAATTGGTATGAAAGAATGAGCAGAAGTGAAGTCATTGGTATTAATTTTGATAAGAGTGCGTTTTTATACTGTAGCTTAAATCAAAAGAAAAACGGAAACAAATGGGTTGGAATCATGTGCAAATAAAATAAACTTTACCTTTTTTTTCTTAAAAAAAACTTTTCTGTTTTCCGACACTTTTTTTCCTCGAAGCAACAAGAGGGAATTAAAAACAAGATCCTTTTCCCTGGAAGCCTTATGAAAGGTTTTCATTCGATACCAATAGATGAACATTAGTGGTTTTCAATGGTCACAACTGTTGCTCTTTCGAAACCGCATTAAAAAAATAAATATAAGCAAACATGGAGAATTTTCTTGGAACGTTTATATCCGTTTGCTCATAAATGTATTGATTTCCATGTATTTTGTATTGCATACTAAAGAAAAATAAACAACTACGAGGGAAAATACGCATATTGTGAAAAAGTTTAATTCGTTTCTTTGCTCTCTACGTCCCAGTTTATAAAACCCGCAGGAAGCGTTATTTTGTAGAATTAAGGACTCTGTTTTATCTCGTCCAAAAATCTCTCGTGTCCTTTGCATATTGGATATTTTAGCTATGAAAGAGAAATCCTGAAAATAGAGTGACGCTTTTTCAAATTAAATTGAAGCAAGGCATCGGAACACAGTCATCTTATGATATCCTTAATATTTTGGTATGTAATAAACCGCTAGATTTATACATGAACCCTTCCACGCTTTAAAAGATAAATCTGGATAATATTAAATTCTGAGCTGCCTGCATATTGAACAATGAACCCTAGAGGTTGCTAATATTTATACCATCAATTATTCGTACAGGGAATTATGTTTCAATGCTTCTTTATAAAGTTTTATTAAAATTGAAGATGAGAAGAAGGGCTCTTTACTTAAGATAGAAATATATGCAAAGTAACACTCAAAATGAACATAATTTCTCCGTAGATTCGTGCAGAATATTTGTATTTTTGACTGAAATAAAACCAATCACCGTCTCATAGTATATTTAGATGCATTTTGCATATGAACTCAGAATCCAGGTAAGCTACTGAACAAGAAATTCGTACAAAATGTGTAAGCTAATTTGCGTTATGCATTGATTTTTCACTTTGTTTTTACGCAAAATTACGAGAGTATTGAAAAATTAAATATCTTATAGCAATTTCCGACCAATTCTTTGCATGTTAGGTTTCCAAACACTAACTAAATTAAAACATAATATTTAATGGTTATACTGCAAATCAAATTAAAATAAAATATTTAATTTTAGCATGAAAGGAATTTTAGGATTAAAATTTTAAAGGTACTAGATATATTCTAAATGTATTAAAAACAGGATCTTCATTTCAATAAGATTAACAAATGTTATTTATTTAATTATACAGGGGTGTTAAATTCGCTACTTTTCTCATTTTGAGCAATCTTTAAAATAATAACACTATATGGTTTAATCATAGAAGTTAAACTACAAAAATTAGCGTAATGTTTGCAAATTTTGCAGGACTAGTTTCGATGGTTTAAATACAGAATCATCTTCTTCAGCTTCAGTCAGCCTGACTTCCGTATTTAAACCATCGAAACTAGTCCTGCAAAATTTACAAACATTACGCTGATTCTTGCTGTTTAACTTCTTCAATAATCGTTATTCGGCGTGTTGTTTTAACCTAAAATATATGGTTTTCACTAAATTTCAGTTTTCTGCATTTTAAATCTTTTTGTCTGATCCAGGGTCATTAGGAAAAAGGTTTGTTTCTACCCATAACTACAGATTATATTTAGATTCAATTTTAACCAGAAACGTTCACATATATTTTTTTAGGATTTCCTAGAAGATTATTTTGACTTCGAGTTACACTAAATTCTCCGATCTAAAATTTTCCAAATTATATTAGAAACGGTTTAGTTTGGAAAAAGAATATTATTTAAGTATATTAAAAATGTCATTGTCAGACATTACCTTTGTGCTAATATGACGATATGTCGTAAGTAACATTCTATCTCTTCATTCTTCTTCTTTCCTCTTTTATATTCAAAGCATCTGCAGTAAGGAACACGAAACTTAAAGCCAAATGGCAGCTACTAGCTATCCATATAAATAACTGTACTATAATATAATAATTTTAAAATCCATATAATAACTTTGAAAATATAATACAGGCTTACGTTTCTTCTAAAATACTAATTATCAGTCACGTTTCTCTTTGATATTCTGTAACTGAAATTTTGTTAAAGAGTTTCCATTGCAGTTACAATTTATGAAATAAACTCACAAAAATATCTCTTATATTTTCAATGTGGAATTTCGTTTTTTCCCAATCTTTTAACTGTGCTTAGGTTTAAACCTAATTATAATATATTAGGTTTAAACCGCCTTTAATTCTTCAGATAAACCAAGATGTTCCTAGAATGATGTTTTGGGATTTCCCAGGCTAGGAAAATTTGTAAACTATATATTGGATGTCCTTCTATCAACTACGCATTGGATTTAAGACACTCCATCTTGCAAGCTGAATAACTCCGAAATATACCTCTTTACCGTAGAAATTTCTTTACATACTCGCATAATACGGAACTTCCAGGTTACTCGTTCCTGTCCTTACGATTAGACTTGAGCCATTCTAGAATATTCATAGCACAGATGGACGCGATATGTTTCTAATTTGGGAAAAATTCTTTT